TGATACATCATCGTCCTTCATTGTTGTTGTTGTTGTTGTTGTTGAATTAATCATATTCGTGTTCGTTATTTTCTTAAATATATTCATGGGTTCGCAAGATCTGGTTTATAAAATACTAAAACATAAATCCATGCAAGAAAAGCGCTCATCAACATTCAGTTCTGAAGCGACTAGAACTACACTGTCAGCCCGTTTGCAAGAAGAGTTTTGCCCCGATCGGAACATATTTCTCAGTTAGGAAAATGTAAACAGACTGCCTGTCTTTTTCGAGATTCTGTGCAAGTTTTACTCAACATTTTCAGTCAAAAAGGTCATGCTTTCTGCAAATCTTTTAGCCAAAATAATTTTCACCGACCATACACTGTAAAAAATAAAGTGTGTCCGGTAATGTGCATTCCCCTAAGTGTGCATTTCGAGTCCAAAGTGACGTATAAATTGTCACCGTGTAACCTGAATTTTTGTCTTGCGTTTCTCTACGGGAAAAAAAACGAAAGAATTATTCTTCTCTTCGGTCTTTTTTCTCGTTCTGTCTGTGGAAACTACATGTGCAATTACTGTGTGGTACAGGCACACTGAACAAGCCGTTTTCAGTATGCAAAAACAATCCAATGTAATGTGCACATTCAGTGTGCCCCAGGTACACTTTAATTTTTACAGTGTATAGTCAACATTTTCCAATATTCTCGATCTACGTCAAATTCTGAAGTTGTATAGTTTTTTGATAAATACAAGGGTGCCAGTTGTGCTACAAGTTCTTTTACGAATACTTTTTATAGGACAAGATGCCTGGAGTTGTCGTGGATAACAGAAGGAATTTATACAGCAGAAAATACAGTCTATTTTATAAAAACAGAAAATCGCATAGATTATAAACGTCGCTATGATCATTTGCAAGGAAAGCGGAAACAGAAGCGTTCCTAAGTAAAACATGATCAATAGAAAGAGCAGTGCTATTGAGAATCTAAGTAACGAAAATAGTTCAAGATATATTATTAGCATGAATGGTCTAATGCGAAAAATGAAGATCCATCTTTTTTTATTCCGATTTATAAAAAGAGGATTAGGAATTTCTGAGTTTTTAGCGAAGATAATTAAAAATCATGGATTTGGTTTAAAAGAAATTTTCACTGCGATTTCGAGTGTTTTTCCAAGAAGAAACATTTACACTACTCTTCAAAATATCTTTCCTCTGTAAGTCAAAAACCTGTAACTCAAAAAAGTGATGTTTTACTCAGGAACGCTTCTGTTTCCGCTTTCCTTGCAATTGATCATAGCGACGTTCATACCCAAGCAAAAACGACCCAACTTTTTGGCTTATTTATCTAGATTCATCTCCACGTACATCTAGATGCAAACGGAGCTGAATCTAGATAAATAACCCAAAAAATTGAGTCGTTTTTGCTTGGGATAATATATGCGATTTTCTGTTTTTATAAAATAGACTATATTTTCTGCTTCCATGCTGCTGTAAAAAAATTTTCTGTTATCCACCGACAACTCCAGGCATCTTGTCCTATAAAAAGTATTCATAAAAGAACTTGTAGCACAACTGGTATCCTTGTATCTATCAAAAAAAATACATTACACCACTCCTTTTTACCGTTCTCTGCAGTAGATCTACTGCATTATTCTATGACAATCAAAACATCGCCATGATGCGGCTAAACAGATATGCGAGTACATTTACGAATGAATCTTGAATTATAACCAAACCGAACAATTTATTGTCGTAACGTAATAACTAATGAATGACTAAATCTCTTAAGTGATAACAGCTTATTTAAAAAAGGAAACTAACTGCACATCATAAAGACGATCAATAATTGTTATAATTACAATTAAACACTTAGTAAGTAATCAATCAATCAATCACTTCAACATGCATCAGCCAAAGAATAATTTTTAAATACTTAGCCAAATTGCTCTAGCTAAGCATGTGTTCTTTGTTACTTTGAAAATAGAATTTTTTTTTGAAAAATAGTTTTTATTTACAATAAAATTAAAATTAACTTAGTTTTCCAAGTGTTAAAAATTCTTCACGAGTTTTCGAATCTTCTCGAAATACACCTAACATAGAACTTGTTGTCGTTTTTGAATTTATCTTCTGAGCGCCACGCATTACCATACACATATGGCTAGAATTAGAAAAAAACAATATTATACGCACCAATAATCGTTATACGAAGATACTTACACGCATTCAACAACGACTCCAACACCTCTTGGATTAATCGCTTCAGCAATAGCTTCGGCTATTTGACGTGTTAAACGTTCTTGTACTAATAAATAGAAGACAAAGTACATGATGCGGTTATATATTTAAAACTTAAACTTGTCTATTCGCAGTTTCGGTATACACGTGAGCAGTAAAATTTCTCACCATCTATTCTACGAACTGATGAATAAAAGATTAAATTAATTTTTATATCACTATACATTATGTCTAAAAATTTAGTCTTAGAATGGACTAACAATCTAAGAGTTTCACTTTTCTGATCCACTCCAGATTTTTTATTTGTGACTTTACGAATTTTGATGCAGATTACGTATCCAATAACTAATGTATTTAGAAATAGAAAATAGCTGTTACTTGAGCTAATAGATACATACCCTGAAGTCTTCTACCAAATATTTCGACTATTCTATAAAACAAAAAGATAAACTAAGCCATATGAAGCATCAAAAACTTATTTGTTCTGTTCTATTCTAAAATATTGATAGGCTATGACGATATTCTTAACGATAAGAATGTACTCTTTCACAATTGTTTTTAATATCATCTAGACAGCTAATCACTAATACAACCAAGTTTTTTCCGAGCCACAATACTGTTGATGTATTTACCTTGCTATTTTGCTCAAACCAATGACACGTTTATTAGGCAAATAGCCAACTGAAACCTGAAACATTTAAAATTTGACAAGTGTTTTTTTCTTTGTCGTGGTAGTAGTACGTTGCTTGCCTTTCCAAAAAATGGTACTAAATGATGCTCACATAATGAAAATATGTCAATATCTTTAACAACAACCATTTCATCGCATTCTTCATCAAATATAGCGTCACTGACAACATCTTAAACAAAGAATTCAACTATATTGAGAATATGATATAATTATAACTAAAAATTTACCTTGTATATTTTGTTCATAGCCTTTTGTGAAGAATAACATTGCTTGTGCAGCACGTTTCGGTGTTTTTAATAGACCCTGACGTTTTGGATCTTCGCCAATCTGTTCAAGTAGTTCATGGTAGCATGAAGTCATTGTGAGTAAACGTTGTTCACGTATCGTCAATGTATCATCTTCACGCAATGCATTTACATCCAGTATACCTGATTTTCGAACAATCGGTGATTCAGGATCATCATTCACATTTTCTTCCATTGTGACAGTTTTAGAGATATTTTTTCTTGGGCTGTGTTTTATATCGAAGTCTAAACAAAAAAATATTCGTTCTAACTAGTTACTAAATCATATCACAACTCTTACTATGTTCAACGTGATCCAAGCTTTTGCGTTTTAAAAATGGATCGACAAAATAATTTGAACTATTTTGTGTCATTTCACCCCAGTTTGCTTTGGGTAAAGAAAAACAGAAACGATAATATTAACTACATGTCATTCAATGTTGATGGCTAATCTCAAAATGGGATCCAAAAGGTTCTTGAGAACAATAGGGCAGGTGAACTAGTGAGCTGCAAACTAGATGAGTACATACAAAGTTGATGAAAGAGGAACAGCGCCGAATGGACCGATTGTGTACCTATTCGGCTCTCAGTCAACTCCAAGACGTCGTCGAATTTCTACCGCTTTGTCGAAATTTATGGGTTCAGTTTGCTAAAAACGAAACACTTACATAATCTGTAATATAAGAATAAATACCGAATTTGGACAAAATTTGGTAAGATTATAAGAACTAGTAGAAATAGGCTCTCATAACAGAATAAATCTTATTCTATAGTATATACATCAAATTATTCAGAAATATAAGTCATTTCTTTACGTAATTTAAGTTGCGAGTTAAATAGACTATGAGTCTTCGTTTTTTTCTTCATTTTTCTTTTTCTAGATCAAAAAAAACAATCTTTTTTTAATTATCGGCAGCTGGTACCCCTATATAACTATACATATTAAGAATTTCTATGGCAGGTCTTCTTGAAATGAATATCTTCTGCTTGAAATTCATATGTTAGACTACTATACACTAGTTCGTTGTCTACTTTGAACTAAAAGCAATTTGAGTATAACTATATAAATAATCTTAAAGTGAACAGTTAACATTTGTTTTTTGCTCACCGATTTCTTAATAATTGACAGTACTTTTCGCATATGAATTCATTTAAAATGTACCAAGAGTAGAAATATAAATTAGACAATAGAAGCGTTCTTTTCATGTTCGACATGTATTATTATAGATAAATTTTTCAAAATAGACGACGATATATTGTAATTTTAGCCGGAGGACATTTTTTCTCATAAAATATCAAAAAGAAACAGACCTCTATACATTCGAAGAGGTTAAAATTCGAACAGTATGTCTCTGTATTATTTTCTTCTGTAGATTATTGATATATGTGAAGAGTCTATTGAAAGTTTCTCGGACTGAAACCATCTGAACCTTTCAGTTTGTTCAGACATTGGATCTTCAGCGAATGTTTACTAATTAAAAGCCAGGTTATTTCCGGATTTTCATTTCAAATTTTTTAATAAGCCTCTCAATCATTAGGCATCTAGTAAAAAAGGAGATATCTCTTCTCGCACAAGATATGCGCCATGCGTGTAAAAACATTGCCACACATGTGACGGAAAGGGACGAGAAAGAAATAGAGAAGCAAAAGAAACAGCGGAGATCAAATATATATCTCCTGGAAAAGAATAGATTCAGTCGTGTTTTTGAATTTATACTATATGAATATACAAATACATTTTAGAAAAATAATTATATATCCTGGTAGCCCTTGAACTTTTCGATTAGTCTCTGCTTTCCCAGTCTGGATTCGAAATTATTTGCTAGCAGAAATTTTGAATATTGTTAATGCCAGAAATTGTAACAGGCGCGACCTCTCAGTATTTTCTATTTTTCTCGTGTTTCTTTAAGACCCAAAATGTTTTCTTAAAAGATGCGCCGCGAAATACTCTATAAAATCATAACCAAACTTTAATTTCAGAACTTCAATCAAGAA